TAAAACTTTCAGTGCTGTTGGAGCGTACAACACACGGGAGTGCCAGTGCTAGGTCAGGAAGGCAAATCCAGACAGGCTTCAGCCTATAGGTAAAAGGTAAAGTAGCCATATTTTATAAACCACTTCTGTCAGCTTTATGAAGACATTAGCAGAATTTCATTTATTCTGCCCTGAGTATTTAAAACTTGTTTGTCTATGAGTCACTGCCTCCTTGTATAACACCTGTCTAGAAGACATCACCCATCAGCCCTGGACAGACTTCCAACTGCTGTAACAAGGCACAGTAGGGAGTTATTTCCAGGCCTGAGGTCAGGACGGAGGAAGATGAAGTGAAGAGGAAGGCAGAGAGGGAAGTATGAATGAGTCAACATAAATGTGAGTGTGAGTGTGTGTGTGTAATGCACAATGGACCAATAAGCATGGAATTCAGTGTTGGAACCAGGATTTTTTTTTCTTTTTTCAGTTATGGAAAGGGGAAAGCACCCTCTAAGGCTGGATGTTTCCTAAGGAGATACTGGTGGTCATCTACGTCCCAAGTCCAACCACGCTGACAGCTTCGGCTGGTCTTGATTACTCTTGCTGCCCCTGTCTTCACTTCAGTGAACTGCTGAAGAATTACCCAAACCACAGTTTACTGAAATCCTTAAAGGTCAGATGAGCTGTCCAGACACCTGAACACCCATTTGGACAATCTAGAGAGGAAATCTAAAGGAAAGAAAGACAGACAGGAGAAAGGATGCATGAAGAGGAGAGAAAGACATTCACAAGTATGGGGAGGCAAACACTGGGACCCCATTATCCTCTCCCAAGAGGCAAGGACCCAAAACTTGCTCCAAAGGAAGCTGACATCACCATAGTAGATTCTACTGTTTCCATTTTTTTTCAGTTATTATAAAGCAATGCTTTATCTTTGGTCTTTAAAAAGACTGTGGAGAAAAAAAGACAAAGACAAATCACAGCCCGCAGTTGAGCTATGGCTTCTTCCAGATAGCTCACCTTCCTTTTCCTCTATCATTTATAATCCAATAAGATTCGATAATCTCACACCATCTGAAGAGCATTTGGTTTGAAAAGTCATAATGAGCCCTACTGTCTACAGAAAACAATCTAAACTCAAACCACACTCAAAGTTCTAAATAATCTCCTGTAGATCTACATTCCTAATCTCACTATCAGGTAGAAGAGATTTTTTTTCACACTAAGGTTACTTGATCACATGATACAATGTGGTACACTGTATAGAACCAGTAACACAGGCAAACACTGGGTATAGTACAGGGTCACAGAAAAGTAAAGAAAGCCTAGAGACAGAAATATAGGCCTGTTCAGTGATTTACTCCTCAATAGTTTGAAATAGTGATAAATAACAGGCATTGTAAAAGGACAAAATGGCAAAATCATGCCTTTCTATTTTAATCATGCCAGAATCAGATCAGGCAGAAGACCTCAGCTTTTGAGACTTGAGGTACATCCCAGCGGTAATGACTCATTACTGTGAGTCATAAAACTGTAGAAAATCAAGAAGTGCTGGGATGGAGAGGGCTCTAAGGCTCTCAGCAGAACCACAAAAAATACTTTAAACAAAGTTCAATAAATAAGCAATGCCTTAAGGGAACTAAAGTATTAATGTGTAAAAAGACTAGCAGAATTATGAATACCTAAAGAGTAGCCTCAATTTTTGTTAAGTCTTCTACAGAAGGTGCAGAGAAAAACAGCTGACCACAATGGTAGCAGCTAGTGATGGAAGCAGGCACTTACTAAAAATTCTGAAGCCCTAAAATGGTTCACTTGGCTACCACAGCCAAGCTTTCCAAGCACCATTTTGCAGCCTTTCATGAAAACTGTCATATTTAAAATATTAAATGTTGGCCTTAAAAATCACAACTGTCAAAGGTAACATAAGAACAACAGATGAGAGTAGCCTTAAAGAAACCATTAAGCTCAAATGAACGCTCCCATCCTTCCTGGGGAGCAAGTAAAATCGCCAGCTCGTCACAGAATGAAATGAAGAGTGACAGCATCTCAGGGATACTAACTTCCTATTGTTCCCGATAAGCTAAAGACTACGCTTTCCCTCAGCCCAGGGAAGTGGTTCACACCTTGTTCTTTGTGGTGACATCACTGAAGACAGAAAGTGGGGTCCTAGCATGCGAAATACTGCACTTAACGTGCACTTTATCAACCTCCGTCTGAAACCCCTGGGATACTTTAAAGTGATGTATTCAGAGGTATCTATAATCATGCAAGAAAAGATAAAGACTGGTCAAACCCAAAGAAATCAAACAATAACTAACTGAATAAAATAAATTCAATCTAAAGTTGGCAGCTCTCCGGAAAAGCAGAAGTACATTTTTTGGTTTCTATGACAGCAGATAACAAAATGATTTATGTTTTAAATCATATCGCCTTTTAAAAAAGCTCTTTTTATTAGAAAACACATTCGTTGCCGTGGTGAAATGAAATTACTTCCTTACCACACACAATAGTTTCGGAGAACTATTTATTGGTTTCAATGCTGAAAGGTGAAATTTCACCAACAGGTTTTGTAACATACGCCCCAAACAGTGAAAGCCATCTCTGCATTTGTTTGATAGCATGAACCTCACTTTTGTAGTATTTTATTTAACATAAAAACAAAAGAAAAAAGATAAAAGGGAAGTTGGTTGATCTGCAAGGGAAGGGGAGAAGTCACATTGAGCAAGAGACATGTGGAATAGCACACTGTGGCTTAGCGAATCTCAGACTTGGACCCTAGAGTCAGTGGTGTGTAAAGCAAACATTCTTACCTAATGTGTAAAATATTGTATGAAATATTTCATGAATTTTCTAGACAAAGGAAGAAACGGAGGAAAACTGGCTATGATTATCATTGCTATCCATTATTTTTATTTTTTGCTTAACCTCAATTATTTTTTTAAAACATGGTATCATTTAATAATGGTAGAGTAATAATAAAGAACAAGATTAATATGAAGACCTAACAGACTTTTGACCATTGTAAGAGGACAAGAATTTTTGGCTGATTCAATTACTGTGAAAGGCGACAATTTAATTGGCTCAAAGAATTTTATTTTTGGTGGATTCTTTAAAATGTTAAATTATCTTGGAATTATATTCTAAACACTACAATCCTCTTCACCCTTCTGAAACAAGGAATTTCATGTCAAAAATTCTTTGTTAGGCCAAGTGTGGTGGTACATGCCTAGGATCCCAGCACTCTGGGAGGTTGAGGCAGGAGGATTGCTGGTTGAAGCACAGCCTCAGCAACTGGGCAAGACCTATTGTAAAATAAAAAAAGGGCCGGGGATGGAGCTCAGTGGAAAGGTCTAGGGTTAAATCTCCAGTTACAAAATTATTAATGCAATTCCTTTTAAAAAGTCTACCTGTGAAAGATGTCTGCTGGAAGAGACTGTGATAGCAACACGCATAGTTTAGATTCTAAAAAGGCTACAAAGAGATGATAAATGCAACCTCCAATTCTAAAGCACTGAATGTCACAAAATAAAACTTTCTGAGGTGACAGCAACCATTTAATTTAAAATCAGAATTCTAAAAATGGAATAAGGACAGAAAATGCGACATTTTGTAACAAATGAGTCGAAAAATGAGGGGAACGGATATTTAGAGTAAATGTTAACAGCAAACTAACAAAATGAAGTAAAATACAATAAGGTAGATCTCAAATTCTTGAGTACTTTGGGAAAATATCTGAAAAAGGATGAAAACCCATGAGCTCTAAGACCTAATACACCATGTGAGAAACAGCACCTCTCCGTAGAGCTCTCCTCAGCAAAGCAAGAGTTCCCGACTGCTTGTCCCATGGCTATGTCACCGTCAGTGGTGCTGACAGCTCAAGGGGTGATGAGCTCAGACTAGGGGGAGCCTGGCAGCTGTGCCCTGGCTAAGAGACTAAGCCAGGATGTCTTGAGCCACATCCAGTCTTAGGAACCAGATGTTCAGGTGCTTTGAAGGCCTCAGCATGAGGCTCAGCTCCATGATCCTGGGTAGAAGAGAAAACACATAGGGAGGAAGAAACAAAGTGGCTTTGATCCCCAGAACTGGGGCTGGAAGCACAGCAGCTGAGGAGAATGAGTCATCAAGTTCTTTACGAAAACAATAAACATAGAAGAGGCCTGAGAGAGACTGAAGGAAGAGGCAGGAGAGCAGGCTTCAAGGGTGCCACACTGGTCCACGCCGTAGTGGTCACTCACTCAGGAAATGACCGTGAATAATGGGGACTTATTTCAAAGGTCTGCAGTGGGATGCCGCTACCTCCACAGTCCTTTCCCTAGGATGTTATCCACATTTCTATAAATTCTCTATAAATTCCTTGGTCGTTTCCAAGAATAACTAAACTATACTGCACAGACACTATCTATAAATTTATTTTAATGAATTTGGGGTTTGTATTCAAGTCATGAAGAATAAAACTCAATGTCATTCTTTAAAAATACTTCCTAAAGAGTTTAAGGCAAATGCTCATTATTAAAATATAATAAAGCAGTGTGGGCCTGGGGGAGAGGAGGGAATTCTAGCACACACTGTAAGGGGACTGAATCCTTCAGCCCCTTCCCTTCTCCCCTCTCTGCCCAAAGACCCAGTGAGTCTTCAGTCAGTTCCAACCCACCCCACTTCCGGCTGGTCTAACGTTCTTCCCTCACATGACCATCTTTGCTCCTCACCTTTCACAGGTCCAACTTCTTCATTCTCTGGCTTTTTTGGGTCTCATTATAAATTAGGCTACAAATGTAATTTAATAACTCTAACAAAAACTCAGCTACAACTTTCATCAAAGTTATTTTGAAAATCAAACAAAGTAGCCTCCTTTGTCCTGATTTTCCATGTAATTGGCCCTTTTCAAGCACTGAAGAAGTAACACTAAGTCAGACATAATAAGATTAGACACCAGAGACAGGAGGACCCACAATCTGAGCATGACATTTTCCTAATGCTTTTCCAGGAGAAAGAGGGAACTGGGGGAAGGGGAAAATCACACTTACAAGTCCACTTATGGCTACAATCCAGATGTAGGAACCAGAGGTGAAAAGCTATAAAAGAAAAAAAAAGGCAACTAAAAATGAAATTCAACCACCAGTCACAGCACACTTATGTTTTACACAACTATAGTTATGGCCACTTATATTAAGTACTCATTACATATAATATACATATAAGCAAATAGTAAATTAATCAACATCAATTATATTATCTAAAAGAAAACAATATATAATTTTTTTACCCATATCTCAGACTTTGTTTAGTTGAAAACACATTGGCTAAAAACTGGCCCATACTTAGGCAAAGAAAAGTAAGTGAAACTAAAGCATAATCTTATTTACAAATGGATGGCAAATGATAAGATAAAATACTACAGATTAAATAGAATGAATAAAATATATTTGTACACATGAATAAAAATATATATTCATCATCCCATCCAATGCTTGTATTAAGTAGTGACCTAGAATATCTCTTATTATATAAGTTTCTCACTTTAATTTCCTTTTTTTTGTTTGATTTTGTTTTGTTTTTTTGAGACAAGGTCTCACTACGTAGTTCAGGCTGGCCTTGAACTCACTATATAGCCCAGGTTGGCTAGAACTTGTGGTGATCCTTACTCAACCAAGTGTTGGGATTATAGGCATGGATCACAGGTTTTAATTTCTTATCACCGTCTCTCTAAATTTTGATGAGAAGAATTCTTTCAACATATAGGTCCATGCTATATGTGTTGATACCTTCATTCTGGTTCACCCAAGGAAGACCAAATTACTAGTAAAAATTAAGGGCAACAATAATTACACCTCATAAAAACTCTCCCTTTATTTTTCAAATCATTTATATCAGGGTTGTACGTGGGGTTAAAAAAAATCCTAAGGCAACTCCAAGTGTACCAGTGTGGAAGAAATGATTTGTGTTTACAGCTGAGTGTGGATTCAGGGCTTCTCATCATAGAAGAGCAGGATACACCAGCAGGCCATCAGGCTTCTTGCTGTTACTGTCCCTGGCACCATGCTAGACAAACCCTCAGAGCTCTGCACACACCCATGGGAGGCACACACAGAAGACAGACAGGAAGGGGAGGGAGCCAGTGCACGAGGACAGGAGGAGGCTGGCAGGTTCCACTAAGCATCAGCTCGGCCGGCCAGGAGCTCTGGCTGCCACTCTCCATGTGCCCTCTGTCCTGGCCCAGAGGCTTGGGCCATGCACTTGACTCTGATAGTAACAAGGATGAGAACTGTTAGATAAATGTGCTGCTACAGTTCTCTTCTAAAAATAGGAAGAATAATAAACTAGCTATCACCTACAAGCCAGGTACTGCTTGCAAGGCCTTTATACACTGAACTCAACACCCACAGGGGAAGTTCTGTGAATTCTGTTCCCCACTGGAGGAGACATCGCAGTTGCTCAAGTCGCTCCAGGCTATGTAGCCGCAGATGGAGGTGCCTGGGCTCCCACTCCTCAGCCCTGTGCTCACCACCCTGCTATGCCTCACACACAGGTAAAGAGCAGAGCAACTGTCAGCACTAAACTGATTTCCTTCAGACTTTGAGGCCCTTGTGCTACTACATGAGTGGTGCCAACTGTGTCTGCTTCCATTTTGACAGGGTGCGAGTTGTCCTCACTGCCGGGCTCCTTGAGGATTGGTGCCACATTTCACACATGCTCTGTGCTCCGCAGCCTCCAGCACAGGGCACTACAGGGCCAGCTCTCAAGCCATTTGATGTGCACATGTTCCCTGACAAGCATTCTGGCTCTTCCGGAAAGAGTTAAAGCCAGCCAGCCAGCCAGCCAACAAATGTCCCTGGCTTCCAGTAGCTAAGGTGGGGAGAGGGGAAGGCACAGGAATGTGTGAAGGCCTAGGGGGAAGGGATGCAAAGAGAGGACAGAACTTCAGTCACATCTGCTTCTGGGTGAGGAGGGTTGGGAACAAATGCTGCGTAGGAAGAAGAACCCTAGGCGCCGACAAGGCACCTCCATTTCTACTTTCTGATACTGACTTCTACCTCACAAAGTTACTGGAAATACAATGTTAGAAAATCCTATCACTTTGAAAAAAGCATCGGTGACCGCTGTGTCTATGTTTTGCCTTTGGCAAGGCTAAGGATACTTTCACTGTGAGCCAAGTGTTACTGCGGAAGTAACACCAAGTGCAGTTATCTCTTTATCCAACCGGAGCCCCCTTTCTGGAAAAGGTGAAACATGTTATTGTTTTTGTCCTCCACCTAGAAGACCCCCATCATAATAATACCTTTTAATCCCAGAAAAAACTAATGGGAGTAGGTATAGAAATAAATTGTTAATAATAAGAACGAATTGACTTAGCTCTTCTTATCTCTGCAGAGCACACTAAACATCCTATACCATAACCTTTAAACCTTAAAATAATCCTGTAACATAGATATTATAGCTCCACTTTACAGGTGGGGAAACAGGGGCTCAGAAAAAGTAGTGATAAAGCAAGTAACAATCAAACCAAGTCATTAAACCAAAGTCCATATGGGCCCAACGACTTTCCATGGGCCACACTGAATTCCTACCCCATAACTGAGAAACAAAGTTCTTCATCCTTAGTGATTCCACATAACTTTAAAGCTGAAAGGAGTTGTATAGCAAACATGAGGCTCAAAGGGGTTCGATGACTTGGCCCAGGTCTCACAGCCAGTGAGGCCACCACAGAACTGGACCAAAGTCTCTAGGTCAGCGGGGGCCACTGCGGCTAGAGCACGTGGAAGGTCCAGGGTGCTCCCCACCATCCCAGATTACCTCTGTCACAAGAACTTAGCAAAACCAAAAATGAAAAGACTTTCTACAGTAAATCCCACCCATGAGAACAAACGGCAGAAACGAAGCATTTAGTTATGTGAATATTAGGTAGAATGGAGGGGAGCAAAAGTATGTGTTGAGAGATGAAGAAAAAACATATTTCACGAGAAACAGTTGTAACCGTGGTAAAGAAACGCCCACCCCAGATGCGCCATTGATAACGTGTGACAGCAGACTAGAGAAGTTAGAGGAAATGCTAAAGGTTAAAAGGGGAGGGAGGAAGGCATCTTAAAGTGACGCTGGCATCCGGTCTGGTATGTGTGGGATAAGGGATGTTTTGAGCAATAATTAGTGGATCAAAAGGCCAAGACACACATGGTGCCACAGGAAGCTGCAGAATAAAACTTTACATCAAAAGCTGGGAGAGGAAAAACGACAAATGACACAGACAGAAAACCGAAAATCATATGTACATCTAGCTCAGGGCCTGGAACCCATCAGGGAGGAATCAATACTCACTGAATGAAGATAAATTTTTCAACTTTAGGTCTTTAAGACCGGTAGTAAGGACTTTAATGGTCTTCACAGCAAACCATTTAGTAAATGGCAACGCTACCATCATGTCTGAACAAACACAGAAGAAATAATGTTGATAATGCTTTGTAAAAACCCCAAAGCTCAAATTAATAAAGTACATTGGGTTTCTTCTTCAAGATTTGTGACCCTGTATTCAGTAAGTTAATTTTGACACTGATTTTCCACTTTCCATTGTTTTCATGTTTCCACTTCACACTATGATTTTTAAAAGTATTTACATGCAATAGTACAATTAAATGAAAATATTTTCCACTGATAAAATTACAGTGAAAACGCTTATCAGATTTCTAAAGGCTATGAAAGTACTCTAGTACCCTGTACACCTTGATGTTCTTGTTCTGTAAGACTTCCTCTGATCATTTGATACAGATCATGAAGCCAAACTTATGGGAAAAAGCAAATGAGAAAAGACCAAAAAAGAAAAAAGATCTGGTTAAGAAATATGAACATAAAATGCATACTGTACCTGTAGTCCCAATATATAAATCAATGTCTTGTTTGTGATGGACAACGGGCCCAGAATTTGTGCCACTTGGACTCTCGGTATGGAGCAGTAAAATGGTACAAACAGAGCAAACACAGGTGCCAAGCTATGCAAACAAATAGAGAAAAATCACTATTGTATAAGGTTGAATTGAAAATACCAACGGCACATGGACATTTGAAGTGACACTGCTTATCATCTAATTCAGTCTGAAAGCATGATCTTAGATACATATGTTGGTTTCCAAACAGGAATCCTGTACAAAATCATTTGTAATTACATGTAACCCTTTGCAGAAACTCTAATTAGCCTATCCTTTTCACCCTCTCGAAACCACAGCAAAGAAGTGTTTCAGCATCTAATCGTGCCTAATTGTGAGGCATTGTTGGAAAATTTAAAGTGCATGTAATGTGTTCTTTCACGAATGACTTAAACTCTAATGAAAGAGAACCACAGAAACCCAAAGCAACACACATTAGACTTGCTCCTGGTCAAAGCCAAAAGCCGCACCTCAGACTGAGTGGTGAGCACCTCTAGAGTGCCAGATGCTGCTTGCTGCTCCTGCCCTCCTCCCTCCAATGCCTTCCCTTGTCTCCTGCAAGCTCACAGTGACTTCTCACCACACACACTACTCCCCAGGGCTCCATTACAGTCTCCTTTTTTTTGCTCTAGTTTCTCCCAAGCATTCACAACACTTTCGATGGCTTTGACTAGGAAAATGAGGCCAGTCCTAACACTGCCTGCTGGTCCCTCATCCTGTCTTTGAACCTCAATTTCATACCACGAACTTGAAGTATTGTACTTTGTCCAATCCACCTCCTAGTACAGTTAACATTAGTCTCTTCTCAAAAGAGGTTTTCCTTGCTAGATTCCAGGCCTGTGCCAGAAGACGGGCATCTGGTCACATCACTCAACCGCTAAAGACCATTCCTTCCACAGGCTTCAGTGTCCAAGATGAAATCTAAAGACTACTGTGAAAGAGCAAAGAACCGCGATTCCCTTAGCACTGTCATTTCCCACAGCTTCTTCCCCCATCTGCCTCATCACATGCACACTAGTGTGTCCTCACTTTCTTCCCAGGCCCCCTTCCTCCCTGTCACAACCACGCATGTGTACCCCCACACACACCCCTGCTGCACGGGCACATCATGCTCCTTTGACTATCCACTAACACCGGTTATGCTTTCAACCTAAAGAGATCGTCCTCCCTTCCTGCTCAGGAAATTCACCTCCTATGACAGCTGTCAAACTCTTCTCAGAAGATCTCTGACTTCAGTGACTTTTACTAACTGGGCCCTCAGCACGGCAAGGCAAGAAGCCTGGCACAGGCACTGCATCCAGGCAGCAAGAAGCAGTCCTTAATCTCAAGGACTTAATCACTGCAGGACTGCAAGCTCAGGTTCCTAGCCAGGCTCAGCAGATGACAGGGGTGAGCAGCATGGCCTGGGCACTTGCTTGTACCCTTTTTCCATTAAACACTTGGCTTAGCTGGTCTATTTTTATTTTCCCATTTTTGGGGAGTGGCATCAACAAAGAATTATTTCATTAACATGAAAAAATGGAAGAACTATTTTTCACTCTACAAAGAAATTCTTACTGTCATTTTTTTTTCCCCAGAAACCAGGTCCCTCTTGACCTTGAGTACATTTTCTCTCCTCTGATGAAACCATACTAAAGATTATTCTATTATAAACAAGTCACATGCACGCACGCGCTAGCATACACACGCGCACACACAGGTGATTAAGTGGCACCAATATTAGCAGATTTAGACAGGTGCATGGCAAGTGTTGAGGGGCATGCCTCTAGCCAGCTGACACATCTGCACAGGCGCCGCGTTGAGACTGGGCCCACAGACTCGGGCAGGTGCTAAGCAGTGGTGGATGTGTGCACTACGACCCTCCTCCCACAGCGAGCACACAGGGCAAGGACGTGTCCTGCTGCTCCTAGCGTCGGCATAGCTTAGGAACTTGTTACATTTGGGGAGTCAAATGGTCCTTATTCTTGACCTGCATTTTAATTTATGGATTTCAAAAATCTCCCCCTAGATTATTAATTCTAAGAGAAAGCACTACAATTTACTTAGCATTGCATCTCATAATGTCTAATGCAGAGTCCTACACATAATCCATGCTCAAAAATTAAAGCAGAGCCAGGAATGTAGCTCAGTGGTGCTGCCACCTGCCTCTCAAGCACAAGGCCCTGAGTTTGATCCCTGGTTTAAAAAAAAAAAAAAAGCCATTTTTTCTTTTCTTGAAAACTACAAGTTAGACACTTTTGGGCTTACAATGTTCCAGTGACTGCCTCGTAATGAAGACCGATGTCATCACAAAGACTACAAAGAATATTTCTTTGTGCGCCATCCCCAGGGTGGTCTGCTATTCAGAGGGCAGCCCTCGCTGACCACCGCGCACGTCTATGCGCACGCCCGCGCGCGCGCGCGCGCGCACACACACACACACACAC